CCTTTTTTGTGCACAGCAAGACCTGTTAGGTCAAAAAACCTCACAGAGGCAAATAAAATAATTACATCACCAAACTTGTTCTTCTCACAAAGAAGAACTCAGACTCCCATTCAACCAAACAGCCATTCATAAAATCAACATAGGCGTTCCCCCCATGCTTCCTCGCCTACCCGAGGTAAACATGAGCCAAAGAACGCGGGTAGTGCTGGGCCCCGCCAAACCGGGGAACAACCAGCCCGCCTACCCCAAACTCCGTATTTTCCTTGTTCTTTCTCTTTTGTCGTCTAGTGGAGTTTGTTCTCCCACTTCCCCCTGCCCTGCCATGTATGGCATGCTCAAGTTGAGGCAAGGGTAATGACTTTGTACGTAAAAATTGTTTGTGAAACATGCGTGCATGAGGGGCCAAGTTCAATTCAGTCTCGGCCAGGATAGCTAATCCACTATTTATATACAGACGTGCTGTTTTACTGGACTGCCACCTCCCTTGAAGGAGGAGCCTATCCAGCTGGCCGTGACGCTGAAAATAAAAAGTGGCTCCACCTCGCCTTAAGCTATAAGGTCTATACTGATACTGCTCCAAGCCCAGAGCTTCAACCGTAGTTTGAAACATCTTCCTCCATTTGTGTGGTGCATCACACAACTTGGTGCCTGGACTAACCGCCTGTTTCCATTGCCACAAGCGCCGTAGCGTGTCGGCTTCAGTGATAGTCACACTTTCTGCGGCTCCTGTTCGTTGTCCGCCCTTGGTCAATCCCAGGGATATCACTGCAACAGAAGTGGAGCTAGCTTGCGAGACATCCTTGCCTTTAAGTTCAAGAAGCTCCCCAGTTCGAAGGAGCCCATGAAACCCTAGGAGAAGGGAGAGAGCAAAAGTCGCACGGCTGTGAAATAGTGCATGACCGACAAGGGTATGCAGCGCCTCCTCTGTGAGCGGAGGTGCCCGACAGGGGATTTTATGGGAAGCCCAAGTCTTTAACAGGCGCCAACTAATGACGAGATGTCCTTTCAAGTGAGGGTCTCGATCTTGTAGTCCCGCTACCGTGTCAGCGGCTAGGCTCCTCCCCTCTCCCTCAGTCCACATGTATTCAAGGTAGTCGGCAAGGATGTGGTCAATCTCGCAGCGCTGTTGCGGAAGTGTAACTCCATGATTGTTGGTCCAGCTCAGGAACTTTTGGACAGCTTTGTTGTAGCGATCTTTCGTTTTGGGCTGCACTGTCAACCCCTTAAGGGGACCCAGGTTGGCACGTATTGTTTTCCGCTCTGCCTTACTCCTCCCTTCCACATGTTGCTTTACTTTCTTCCCCATTTCCGTTTGATACGCCCCCTTGAAGGGGCATCAGCAGGGTTCAGGGCAGTGTGAACATATGTCCACACTGCCGTGTTTCAGGTGAGGAGGAGTAAGGCATTGATACGTGCTAGGGTTCTTCGCAGTTTCTTGCTGCTGGTGCGGCCCCTAGTGAGGGTATGGAGACACACTAGTGAGTCAGTTAGATGTATGATCCTCTGGTCTCTGACTCGTTGCTTGGTGGTACGATAACGCATGGCACATAGCACGGCCCTTAGTTCCAGCACATTGATGTGCTCCTTATGGCCTCTCCATTTCCATCCGCACACTGTGGACCACTTCCACAAATTTGCAGGAATACTGGCTCTGAGTCTGTGATACTTCAGTGTTTCTTCTGAAGCAGAATTCACCAGTATGTCCTCTCCTTTGATACTGACCAAGTTGAGCAATTTCTTAACGAGGAGATCGCTACCTCCCTGAATGAGAGCTTTCCTCGGCCCGTTCATCGGCTGTCTGGTAAGGAAAGTGGCAAAATCCGTGTTGGCTCCTGGCGACGTCCGTTCGATGCAGTGCTGGATTGTCAGCTGAGGACTTACTCCCAGCCACGCTCCCAATTGACTGAGGAGCCATGTGATCACAGTGACGTTCCAGGAGTTGCCCAGCAGCGTCAACCTGAGGTCTTGGTGCTCCGTAGAACCTTGCTTGGACTTAGGCAGGCAGTTGACTGTGTAATGCCTGGGAAAGCCAAGAATCACCTCGCGCTCTTCGGCATTGACCAAGCGGTGCACATCCCCTCTCCCGACCTGATGGCAGGTCTGGTATTGGTAAGGAGGGAACCTGAACTTGTCCTCCTCCCACTGTGTTTTTTCTGCCGCCGTCAACATGTCCAGCCCCGCTGGCCTTCTCCCTGGATGCTGTCGTGGCCGTGAGGTGGTAAACGTGGGGAGAGGTTGCTCACCTAGCCTTCTCCAACCTGGCACTAGGTACTTGTCAGATTCCACCTTACCTTCCAGCTTCACCTTTCCCATGGACTCCCATTTGTCATCAGGAGGGATCTCGATGGTCACACCCTCCCCTGTCTGCAACGCCCACGTGATCCAGTACAGCCTTGGTCGCCTGGCCAGGCTGACCCCGCTGGCATCAATCGCCCAGCTTTGGGTTCCAAAGGACTCACTCATAACCATCCGATCCTCGACATCCATTGATTGTACTGACTCAGCAAGGGAGTGCACTTGTGCCCAAGGAAAAGCCACCCGCACAAGATCACGGATTCGGGCCACATGTACGTACAACTTGCTACGGTAGTCCTTAAGCGCTCCCCTACGATCAGCGTTTAATCCGCTGACTCCTTGGCAAGGAGGCCCTGCACCCAAGATCACTAACCCGACCTGGGAAAATTGGCATGCCCATCGTCGCACCATGTCCAAGTCAACACTTTCCACATTTGAGACAAATTGAGTGGCCGGAAACTTGGATTCCAAAACCCTGGAGGCTGAGGCATCCATCTCCACACTAACATGTCCAGCCATTGGCAGACCAGCAGCATCTGCTGCCACTCTGAGAGCCCCGATCCCGTCAAAGAGACCTATAGTGAGTACTTGGGTCATCTCACCAAGTTCAGGGACGTCTCCCCTCGAGGGGCACAAGGTGGCTATCCGACCCAGATTTGTCAGTCCCCTGCTGACAGTGACACCTCCCCCCGTCGTGGAGGCATCACTTGCAGTCACTTGGGGGTTGGGTAGCGCTCGGAAGTTGATACGTGCCAACGGCAGTAGTGCGATAAACCGACTGATCTCCAGTTCCACCAAGTAGGGGATCTCCAGGCGTATCACCGGTGGGTATTTGTTAAATTCTTCGATAAACGCCCAGATGTGATTCAGGCCACCCATTAGGGCCCTACGGAAAGTGGCAATGTACACGAGGCCCCCAGCCACTACCTGCATCTGTTTTTGACTACACTTCCCTTGGTCTAGCATGAGTAGCGCCAGTTGAGTATACTTTAGGATCTTGTCAGGTTTGGGGTATGCACACCCCTTGTCACCATCCACCATAGCCCCTTGTACCTCGGCCCTCAAGGAACGTTGCACGGCCTTTTTGGGATGCCTAGGAATACCCCAAGCCTCATACTCATCTCTAAGGGCTAGAATAGAGGGGCTTGGAGAACCTTTCAGGAGCGCTGCCAAACTCCCGTCCATGCGTTCCAACTCATCAAAGTTGTCCAAATATATTCGATGCATCAGATCAGTGTTGGGGAAAGGACGATCCCTCCTCAGCTCTTGGCAATCCAGGAGGCGATTGCTCGTCCTCCCCTTGGCTCTTCTCACCACGGAACGGTGGACTGCCTGTGCCAGACTGACTGAATTCCTGAACCCCATGGGCAAGACTCGAGACACCAAAAAATGGCGCTCGGTCTGCCCCGGATGCAGATGGGTCGGTACAGCCTTGTTGAAACCGAGAAACTTTTGCCATGCAGCGGGAACTTTAAAAATGTAGAAGAAACACCTCACATCTTCTGAACCCAATGAGCAACTGTTGAGTGGGCATCAACATTAACGGCCCAGCTGAGGACCATGCTGGCAACGTTGATACGTCTCCTTGGATTGGCCGGCAAATGTTGTTCAGAGGAATCAAATTCATGATTAGCCTATGCAACTCTATCCCTCCTGCTCTGTCTCCCTTGGGCACTCCGAAGAGGCCATTTAGGAGAGGCCTCCCCTTCACATGGAACAACTCGCTCTCCGGGAGAAGGCCACAGATACCCGATGACAGGAGACCTCGACAGACGCCCTCCCATTGGTCATCAGCTACCATGACCCTCGGAGGCTTGGTGTATTCCATGGATTCAGGAGGGACTAGGTAGTCCTCGAAATGTGTGACGTAGTGTCTGCAACCCCCTTCCAATACCGAAGACAGCTCCACCCCTCCTACTTCTGCAGGTATAGCTGGACTAAGGTTGGACCAAGAAGTAGTTTTTGCCACCGACACTTCATCACCAACATAGTCTACACTGCGACTACTAAAAAAGGATTCCCAAGTAGACAAGCTAAACGTCTCTTCCCATGTTGAAACCTCTGCTAAATCTCCGCACAGCCCTTCCAGGAACTCAAGCTGCAAAGGAGTTACTCTGACCCAAGCAAAGAGACCGCAGCATAACCACATCAACCCTGAACTAAGGGCAAACAGGAACCCCAGGGTAAACCAACAAGTTTCTCAACTCGACCACACTCCCTGACTTCACTCGGATCCTTCATCTTCTTTTTCTCACCACTGCGATCGAAGGTCTGCGGGGCATCGTCCAAGTGACTATCTGCAAAGTCACCTAAGCATCGGTTGGATGACGCCGAGGGACTACCAGCGAACTGGCTGTCCGGAGCTTCGCCACTAGGTGAAACATGAAACTGTGGAAAAACGCCTGCGCCATCTGACCTCTCTCCGGCGCCATGCCCCATAAGACCTATAGGCGGTTTCCACACAGAACCGTGTCCACGCACCCAGGGTCCACATTCAGGGCTGTCAGGAGGGCGATCTTCGCGCACTCCCGTACTGCACCTGGCCCGGTCCTGTCCAAGGACAGTGTCCCGGCCGTGGGCAGTCTTCCCCTGGTTTAAACTAAGGCCACAGGGGGCTCCTCGCACCTCTTCATAGCTTCTTTGTGGCTCTCCTCCCAAACCTAGGAGGGGGCCCTCATATTCGTCTTCAGCCTCAGCTCCCAAATCTAGGAGCTCTTCTTTCCTTCCTCTTTTTCGCTCCTCTTGCCTTTCCCTTTGTCGCGCCCTTTTGTCTCGCCCTTTCCGTATCGCCACGGGGCCCCTGCCCCTGAACTCTCGCTCTTTCCCTTTTCTTTTCCTTTTGCTAACGCTCTCGTCTTCTGCTCCTCCTTGTCCTCCTTGGCCGCGGCCTGTGTTTCTGCGCGGCTTGTCAGTTGTCCCCGTTCTGGCGGGACCACTTCGACCCTTTGACTGACTCGCCAACTCCCTCCATTGGCTGTCAGCTGCAAACTCTTCAGCCTCTGCGCCAAGCAGTCGACCGTGTTGGCAACTTTCCCCTGAAGCGCCAGGTCTAAGCTCCAGCACAAGGTCAGAGCTTCTCGGCTGGCCCCCCCTGAAAGGAGGGGGGCCAGATGGTTGCGGTAATATTGCAGCGCCACCGCAGGCACCTCCCCTTTCTCCTGGTCCCAAACTGTGCCTGCTGCCGTCAGGAGTTGACTCTGCATCTCCCTGATAGTGCTCTCCGCTAGAACTCCTGGAGCTCGGCGGGCTACCACCCGCACTTTGTGGGTGTCCCCGAAGATCCCCTCGTCCTCGGAGCTGCCCTGGTCGCTGCTCTCCCCGCTCCCATCGATGGAGCTTGAATCGCCGCTGGTGCTCTCCTCCTTCTTCCTCTTCAACTTCTTCTTCAATGCTTTCACCAGTTTCCTCCTCACTTTGTAATTGGGGTCCAGGCCAGTTGACCCGAAGACATCCTTCAGCTCCTTTCGTGAGTTGACCCTCTTTCTGCTCGATCTCACCTTCTTTCGGCTGGATCCTCCGGTGCTTGAGGATCTTTTCTTCTTCTCCTTTTTCTTTTTCTTTGTTTTCTTGTCGTCTCTTTTCTGGTCTGCTCTCTCTTTCTCCTTCGCTTCCTTCTCTTGCAATGCCATTGCTTCTCTCCTCAGCTCTGCATTCTCGTCTCTTCCTTCTCGCAGGTTCTCTGACCAGCCTCCCTCGTCGCTCCTCTGTTTCTGTCGGATTTTTGTGGCGTGTACTAGACCTTCTGCGTCCACCTTGTTGGGGCAAGTTGAGCCGCACAGATGGACCCGCACTGGCACCGTGGGGTGCCCGGTGATCCACTTCAGGAGGGACTCGCTTTCCGTCCCCTCCCCTGTCAGTTGCAACTCTACATCGCCCACGTGGCGCACTTGGAGGCCCTGCACTGTGCCGCAAAGACGACATCCTTCTTGTCGGTACTCCCCAACGACGACGACAGGAGTACCTTGCACCAATCTTCCCAAAGGAGCCAAATTGGCTTCCACCTCTTCTCCGTTCACAAACTTTTCTTCTGCTTCGCCCTTCTGACTCTGCTCACCTGCGCCTCGACTCGCCGGTCTACGCAGAGCTGCTCCCACCCTAGGAGCCCGTCTACCAGCTGGCCCTGCCGCCGCTGGCCTCCTCAATGCCATTAACCTTGAGCTCGGTCCTCTCGCCAAGCCCGCTGCCTCTCTCGCTTCTTTCTGCCTTTGTTGAGCGCCCTCTTACGCTGGGGATCGGCCCTGGGCTCCGCTTCTCCGATCGGACGCCTCACCGTCAAGATAGGACCCTCCCACCTTCTAGGAGGATGCTCTGGTTCTCGGGGTCTGCCTCTGCCCCTGTCTCTATCTTCCAGTCTCGGACTCCTTGCCCTGCTGACGGGCCTCTTGTCAATGAAAGCTTCTCTGCTTCCACGTGCAGACTCTTCTCCTGACCTATTTTTGCTTCTCGGACGTTCTTTCCTTTCTTTTCTTCCTGGGCTTTCTCCTCTCTCTGTCTTACTATCTCGGGCTTTACTCCTCTTTCCCTCAGCTTTCTCCTTCTTCTTTTCTTTCTTGGGCTTTTGACGCGATCTGGATCTCTCAGCCTCCTCTCTAGCTCCCCGGGCGCTCGAGGAAGGTGCCTCAGCAACCTCGGCTGGGGCGCTTGGTGCGCTCGCCGCCGCCTCCCTCTTCACCGCAATGCCCTCCGTACGAGGAGGAGGTGGGGGAGGCACTGGTAACCCTCCCGTAGTAGGAGGGCCCACAGGAGCACAAAGCCTGTCCCTGGCCCGCTGTTGAGCTTGCTCTTCTTGGAGCAGGGAAGTCCACTGCCTGGCCTGGCTGACCCCCCAGGATCGCAGTACAGGCTGAAGTGCTCTGAACTCCCCCACCAGCCGGGAGACACACCGGCACAAAGCGCAGACTCCGTCCACTCCAGGAAAGGGGCAGTTGCACAATCTGCAACCACTCATGAGCTGAAGCCGAAACTACCGAAAAAAGGGGATGATCAACCTATTCGTCTTTACTTCCGGGGTCGTTCATTCATATATAATAATCTATTGTGGTGGTGAGCCCTTACAACATGCAATTTTCATCAATTTTCTCTATGTCTTCCTACCCGAATGTGCAAATGATAGACTCTATACCCGCATCAATCCCCCAGAGGGAGCAACATTGATCAGTCTATTCTGCTAGGATGGAACAACCATTTGCATCCAAATATTGCCGATATGTTTGGTTTTTATCCCAGGTTAGGGATTCGCGAATCATTCACGAACGCATCCTTTTGGAACCATCCTCTTCCATCACAAGGATCTTTGGCAATGCAAACTCTTTCAATCATATTATATATATGTGTGTGTGATATGTGTGTGATATGTATAATATAAAGATAAAATATGTACCATATATATTATAGGTATATAGTATAGATTATACCAATACCTATGTGTGATATGTACAATAGAAAGATCAAATATGTATATATCAATCTATACCATCTCACATCGTTCCCATCGTTCCGAGGAATCCCCGTCCAGGTTTATCACATAGCCCTTCATGGAGGGATCGCCGCCTGTCAGATGGGCATTGGAAATCAGGTGATGGGTTTACACTCCGGTTGTTTAACAAAACTAATGGAAAATCAGAGGGTAAACAATGGTGATTTACCCATTAAAAATTGTGATTTTCCAAAAATAGTTGATTTACCCATTAAAAATGGAAAATTGGAAAATCACCATGCTATTAATGGGTAAATCAACTATTTCGACTGGGCCATGTTCAATAGTTTGTCTAATCTTGGATGTTTCTCATGTGGTAACGATCAATTTGGGGATGATTTAGTATCCATAACTGCGCCTTAGAGTTGCACCAGTACTACTTGTCATGGCCATGAACATGATAATCAAATGATCGCGGTATTTTTGCTTTCCTAAGTTAGATAATCAAATTGGATAATAGTTATTATACTTATATTTTTATAATTATTATAATTGTTATAATATATATCTATATATATATATTGGATCCCATGTAGCAGCTATAATATATAAAAAATATTGAGCACATATAATATACATAATGTATGTGTGTATTTATATATACGTATATATGTATATATGATACAATATATGTATATATGATAATATATATATATTAGAATATATGTATATATATATATATGATACAATTCATATTTTATATAACATAATATATATATATATTATAATTAAAATATATGTGTATATATATATAATGTATCCCAACTTACTAACTAAAAAATGGCCACTACATCCCCTCGCATCGCCTTCTTCCACTTGCACCGCTGGCTCCGCACTGGCTAAGAATGGTGATCTGGGCAAGGCGACTTCTGTGCTTTATTGGAAAACACTTGGGGCTTCTACACCGGCCTCTTTGTTGTGATAAAACATAGTACAAAAGACTGCTCTTTGAAGGGACTGTGTAGGTCTTAGATGCTCTAGATACAGTTGCATGTTTGACATTATGTGACACGAAATGATTGAAACGTATTGAACAATATTGAACGTGATTATATTCATTAGCAACGAGGCTAGCCCCCCTTGGCAAGCCTCATTGGACTACCCTCCAACCTTGTTGCAACGTCTTACTTCTTGCTGGTCTCCCCATTGAACACATACAGTAGTTAGATATAGTTAATGTCAACCCCGGATTTTGCCAAGCCATGGTTTATGACAATTAGGGGGTACCATGGGGTACCCTCCAAATAGTCACTTTATATGGTACATAAATGGTACCCTCCCAATTAAGCAACCGTTTGGGGTTTATTAATCCAGGGTTGACATTACCTGGGATCTCCAGAGGAAGATGACAAGTAAACATCATCCAACGATGGTATAGATGGCCCATAGAAATGGATGGTTTACCGAACTTAAAAATGGAGATTTTCCATAGCTACGTTAAATAACCACAGGGTAGATATAATCCAATGGTTAAAATAATCTCCAATAGGGTTAACATAATCCAATGGTTGATGTTCGCCTTGTTAAAAAACCTTCTTTTTGAGGGGCCCTTTGCTCATACTCCGAAGAAACATCGCGGCGACTCTGACTGAGCTGTGAGCCCGGGCCGTTGTAAGCCTCGAAGACAGTGTCATGATGAGTTTTGGGAGCCGTGGTCCCTTGATAGTGTATACAGTATACATATTATACATGTATATGTATGTATATATAGGTTTGTCTGAACAAGGGGCGATTACCCCCAAAATCCAATGGGCAATAATTGCAGTTGTTCCCATTATCATTAACATTGCCATTTGGGGTGAAACCCAATTCTCAGCACACCCGATATGTAGATTTGTGTATAACCTTGTATATATATATACATTATTATATAGATGGATATCCGATGCATTTCTGGCTTAAAACTGCAGATGTAAGCAAGCCAAGAAAAACGCGGTTTGCTTGGGGTGGGGCTCCAAATTCCTCCAATTGTGGCATTTTGGCACTGTTGAAAATGTCCCCTGACACATCAAGAAAGGATAAGAAAGGCTGAAGGCCTCCTTGGGGAAATTCTCCCATAGAATGGAGAACTAAGTCAGGCTTCACAAGGCTTAGTATCGACCATTGAGAACCTTCTGAACATGGTCTACTTAGTCTACTTCAAAACATTTGTGAAGAAAGGGATGCTTTAAAATTGCTAAACATCTCAAATACAGAGTCTATTTCCTTTACAAACATCAGCTTTGAGATCGGTTGATGGGTTGACACCTGTTCAACAACAAGGACCTATTGAGCAAAAACCAATTTTAAGTTTTGCTGGTCTCGCTTGTCGGAAATACGTGGTCAACAATTGCAATTGTGTTGGTCAAACATCTTGGGTAATCACAATGTTCCATGGCTTAAATCACCATGAAACCACCATTTTTATGATGGTTAACTGGTTAAATTGGTTAAATCACCATGTTCCATCTTTAAATCACCATGAAACCAGCGTTTTGATCGTTAAGTCCACCAGTTTCGAACCCACCTTTTTCCAGCATTTTGGTTCCCCGACTGTCCACGGTCCGCAGGGCATCGATGACTTTGGCGGAGGGCCAGCTCGCACATGAAGGACCTGGCACGTAGAACTGGTGTTCATCGTACGAAATAACCATGTAGAAAGGTGGGGTTCCCAAACCATGGCGAACGATTGACTTATATATGGGTGTGTCTGAAAATGTCGTGTACCTCTAAACCCAATGGTTTTGCTGATCATTATCCCTATTAAATGGCTATTTCATTGGAAATATACCCTATTTTCAGACAAACCCATATAACTTGGTGAACATCTGGGTTTGTGGGGGATATCCATGGTTTACCCCCACTGAAAATTACGTTGCTGTGCCACAGTTGGTCTGGATTATGTTCAACCTCTTAATGGGACGTCCCATACCAAGAAATACGAAGGGCTTGAACGGCCGGCAAAGATGGGGAAACTTTGGATTGCCAAACGATTGACATTTGAGAGCTACGTCAACATATCGGCTTTCATTTCACAGCTACGTCAATGTGTCATGGAATTCAAGTTGACAGCTATGTCAACGCATCACAGGTTTTCAGTTGACAGCTACGTCAACACAACATGGGTTTTCAGTGGACAGCTACGTCAATAATTTATGGGTTTTCAGTTGACGGCTACATCAACGTTTCATGTGCTTTTAGTTGACAGCTACGGTCAACGTTCGTCAATTTTCAAATGACAGCTACGTCAATGCATCATTGCATCATGGGCTTTCAATTGACAGCTACGTCAACGTATCATGGGCTTTAAGTTGACAGCTACGTCAACACAATACTTCATGAACTTTGCATTGACGGCCACGTCAACGTTTCAGGGTGGTGAAGTTGACAACTACGTCAACGTATCACGGGCTTTAAGTTGACCGCTACGTCAACACAACACTTCATGAGCATTCAGTTGACAGCCACGTCAACGTTTCAGGGTTGTGAAGTTGACAGCTACGTCAACGTATCACAACGTTTCAGGGTGGTGAAGTTGACAACTACGTCAACGTATCACGGGCTTGAAGTTGACAGCTACGTCAACACAACACTTCATGAGCTTTCAGTTGACAGCCACGTCAACGTTTCAGGGTTGTGAAGTTGACACCTACATCAACGTATTACGGGCTTTAAGTTGACAGCTACGTCAACACAACACTTCATAAGCTTTCAGTTGACAGCCACGTCAACGTTTCAGGGTTGTGAAGTTGACAGCTACGTCAACGTATCACAACATTTCAGGGTGGTGAAGTTGACAACTACGTCAACGTATCATCGGCTTTAAGTTGACGCTACGTCAACACAACACTTCATAAGCTTTCAGTTCACAGCCACGTCAACGTTTCAGGGTGGTGAAGTTGACAGCTACGTCAACGTATCACGGGCTTTAAGTTGACAGCTACGTCAACACAACACTTCATGAGCTTTCAGTTGGCAGCCACGTCAACGTTTCAGGGTGGTGAAGTTGACAACTACGTCAACGTATCATGGGCTTTAAGTTGACAGCTACGTCAACACAACACTTCATGAGCTTTCAGTTGACAGCCACGTCAATGTTTTAGGGTTGTGAAGTTGACAACTACGTCAACGTATCACGGGCTTTAAGTTGACCGCTACGTCAACACAACATTTCATGAGCTTTCAGTTGACAGCCACGTCAACGTTTCAGGGTGGTGAAGTTGACAGCTACGCCAACCTATCATTGGCTTTCAGTTGACAGCTACGTCAACACAACACTTCATGAGCTTTCAGTTGACAGCCACGTCAACGTTTCAGGGTTGTGAAGTTGACAACTACGTCAACGTATCATTGGCTTTCAGTTGACAGCTACGTCAACACAACACTTCATGAGCTTTCAGTTGACAGCCACGTCAACGTTTCAGGGTGGTGAAGTTGACAACTGCGTCAACGTATCATTGGCTTTCAGTTGACAGCTACGTCAACACAACACTTCATGAGCTTTCAGTTGACAGCCACGTCAACGTTTCAGGGTGGTGAAGTTGACAACTGCGTCAACGTATCATTGGCTTTCAGTTGACAGCTACGTCAACACAACACTTCATGAGCTTTCAGTTGACAGCCACGTCAACGTTTCAGGGTGGTGAAGTTGACAACTGCGTCAACGTATCATTGGCTTTCAGTTGACAGCTACGTCAACACAACACTTCATGAGCTTTCAGTTGGCAGCTAAGTCAGTGTATCATGCATATGTTTTTAAGTCTGCGAAAAGCAGCTACATCAACACATCATGGGCTTTCAGTTGACAGCTAGTCTACCTCAAAATCTAATGGTTTGAAAACTAAGGCTGTCTATTAGTAGGTATCCCCTAATTTCAGCCGCACCAAAGTCCCCTAAGTCCCCAGTTTGTGGGTTGTATCAGTTGTATCCCAGTTTTGAATGATTAAATCACAACGTCTGTCGGATCGATTATATAGGTCAAAGTCAAGTTCACACTTTTGTAGCTTCAATCACCACTTGTTGTGGCGAGGTCCCAAACTGTTCGGGTTTTACGGCTTTCCGCGATCACCTGCCGCAGAGGTGCTCCCTGCTGAGGTGGACAATGCACCTGAGTGTGTTTCTTGGACTTATATACAATGCGGGCCCCCCCCAGATAGCTAAGTTAGGTTTATATCTCCAATAACTATGGTTTATGATACTTATAACTTTAACTATAGTTAATGGGGTTTATAAGCCAACTTATAATAACTCGTAATTGGGGGGCCCACATGGTAAGCATTGGAGAAGGTTTCTTGCTACTGACATGCAGCCCAGGGATTATTGATGATTATTGTATATTGACTGTGCGAGGCAATCTCAACATTGGTTTGGGATAGGTAAACTACGATTTTGTTTGGTAGTTGGGGTATGCATGTGGGCACAATATGCTTTTACAGAAAAAAAACAGACCAAAACACTCAAATCTTGGCGAATATGCAACAATCAGGGGGTATACGGCCCAGAATCATATTCTGATTTCAAAGGTAACAGGGCCAAAAGAACGCTTGGAAGACATTTAGTACACCATTTTGATGCGTAGGCCATGCTTGGGTAACCCGGTCGAAATTGGGTACACCATTTTGATCTGTGGTCACCCTGGTCCCCTGAGTCTCAAAAATTGACCTATCCCCATCTGAAGTCATTCCATTCATTTGGGGCTTTCCTAACATAGAGCTACCCCATTTCATCATCATAGATTCGGATTTTCCATAAAAAAACCAAGCCTTTTGAAAAAGATCCCCCATTTATGGAAACCCCGACACGTATCTAATTGCAATGGACATAATATAAATTTTCCCTGCAACAAATCACTATATCATACAAAAAATCCCCATGATATTCTCATGATATTCCCATTTTTTCGTGGTATGACATTAGATTACCCCATTATGATACTCCATTGACAGGGGAGAAAATCTGCCGCTCAGCGACTTAGGTCGTCTCCGCAGGCTACCTGAGATCCATCAGTGGCAGCCTACTGGGGGAAATGAACGCAGCATTTTTTCATGGGAAAAGACATGTGGCACCATCAGCTATAAGTTGGTTTTAGAAATCCCACATAAGGTGATATTCCATATGTATATATATATAGTATATATATATATATAAACCATAAAATTCATCAAGTTATGTGCGTCAACCTGTCGCGATTTCGTCAACGAAGGCCACACCGTTCAACCAGCCGGGAATCCGGTGCGTGCCTGGTAATGAAACTCCCTGAGCTGTGGCAATCGCCAAGAGATGTATTTTGGGGTCAAACATATATCTTTCATGATCTTTCTTTATTTGTCATGATCTTTCATAATCTTTCATCTGTCTAGATGTCGCAAGACGCCCGTATTTCGGAGGATTTCTGTGTTTTCATGTGTCCTCTGGTGCTTTTCCAAGGAATGTCCACACCCATGTCTGCCAGGATACAGCTTTGGCAGCCTGCGAATTGGGCCTGGGCGGCGTGGATCTCACTTTAGGATGCAAGATGATACAAGTGAAGTAATGTCCTCATACGCAATACAACCAAGCAACAAAAAAAAGCGCTGTGACCTTACTTGATATGGCCTACGTGAGGTTAGGGGTTATCAATGGTTATCAATAGTTCTGTGAAGGCAACCCTTCACGATTGTTTCAAATGGCAGGCCTTCCTGGCCATCTCTGGATGTTGGTTTATCCATGGGGCATACTGATATAATATGATATAATTTGGTACACCCAATGCCATAATACATCCTCAATATAGGTTTATTATTGGGTATACTCCTATTTGGCATGATGCAAAATGCAACCCAAATGGCTGCTTAATGCTCCAGCACTTTCATGCTAACAGGAACATCATGATGAATGATTAGTTTTTGAGGATACCCTCTGGTAAACTAACATGGCTATTGAAAATGGCCATTTATAGTGAGTTTTCCCATTAAAAATGGTGATTTTCCATTATGTTAGTTTACCAGAGGGTATCCCCGTGTTCCAGCAAAATAAAAACATGTTCTTCCCAGTTCCATAAATATTGACACCAACATAAACAGAACCAGTGGGCTTGGTCTAGCTTTGAGATCCCAGGGCACCCGGTGCAGATTGACCACGTCATCTTTTTATGTGTGTAATGTCAATGACTATATAAAATCCAACGCATATATTACATGTCTATCACTCTGTTCATTAGATACTTGTATTATACAAACAAATAAATCATACCATATTACATAGCACAATATAACACAATATAACATAATATAACACACTAATCCACATGAATCCACTATATTTCGGCCTTGGAATTTCCCGGGATCCCCTCATACTCCAACCCTTCCAAGCCCAGTTGCGGGGAAGTCGATTCAACTGGGATCTCGGTGCGAGCACCTGAGCTTCACCCAGGCCATGGCTTGGGCTGGTTTACCCTCTGGTAAACTAACATAACTATGGAAAATCACCATTTTTAATGGGAAAAACCACTATAAATAGCCATTTTCAATAGCTATGTTAAATTACCAGAGGGTACACACCGAAAATGGCTGGGATCCTTTCTGCTGTTCCAAGTCCAGTGAAAGCACTGGGTCTGAAAGGGGCATCCGCAGGTCCGCCGAACACCTTTTCAGCCGCGCTTGAACGCCAACTGCATGCCACTTTCAGGCCAATGCGTTAGAGATCTTTACAGAATCCATATTTGCCGATCACCGTTTTCGAAGGCCCGCATGAATGGTTGCCTCCCGACCCAAACAACAGCTGTAGATGCTCAACCTTTGCATTTTTTCCAACAGGGTGAAAGTGTCAACGTGACCAAAGGGTTTTCGGGCATGTTTTTGGGCTGACTTGCTCATTCCAAATGATATGACAAATCCAACCGGAAATCCCAACTTGGCCGTTTCTGCTACTACTGGTGTTTGGGTCACCAACCAACTGTACAACTCACCGAACCATGCTTCACATTGGTTGGATTCAACCAGCAAAAGGACACTGGCTGCTGCTTAGCTAAAGAATTGATATGTCGAGGAGTCCCGGATCACCAAGTACCTCGGTTCTTCGAAGCAAAGATTGGAACCAGTACTGTGAAGACCTGGAATGATGATGAATGATGCCTTGCCGGCACGCAATCCATGGTACATCGGATGCTGCATCTAAAGGATTTGTTGAGGTAAATGTGGGTGTCTAGATCCTCCGTTTGTACCCACAAACACGTTTTTTTCATTATACACCATCTTTGACCCATTCTTATGGATACTTGGAGGGTCTAGGTCTAGATCAACAATGGTAAACATACCTAAACATACATGGGTGTCATGGGTTCTAGTAGCGGTCTGTACACAAAATGGGCGTCCACGAGATATCTGATCTTTAGGGTTGTGGGCAGCAACCACAAAAGAAATGGAGGGAAAAGCAAGGGGTGACTCATGATCTTTGAACGTAACTCATGATATACTAACTTCAAGCATGGCCAAATGACAAACCATACATGCCCAATGGTCAAGTTGCATGGTACTTGCCATTGTTAGTGGTTTGACCATCCCCCAACATGGCTGATCCCAATCTTGACGGCATGCGGCCGGTTTCACATCATCCAGAACTGGAGCTTTCCGCAACCCAAAAAATCAGATGCCTTGGAAACTTGAAAATGATGTGGAAAACATCATCTATACAATGTATATCTATCATCCTCATGGCACACTTTTCGGCATTTTTTTGGGGGTTTAGGTAGAAATCAATCCCCATCTAGGCAGATCACGAGAAAATGGAATGCTAAGGCCCCAAAAGATGCCCTGGTTGCTGCTTTCAACCTACAAGTCTCTGAACCAAAAAACACAAATCAGGTCAATATCTTAATCATCCTACCATAGCCTTGATTTGTCTTACCCCCAAACTACCTTAGCGAAAATGGTGCCATAGAAATAGTTGATTTATTATCTGGTTATTTAACATATTAACATAGCCATGGAAAATGGCCCATGTATAGATGATCCCAGCTAGAAACCTCCATTTCTGGTTGGGATTTTCCATGGCGAACTGTTAGTCATCACCAGAGGGTACCCATTCAAAAATGGCTGGTGCCATCTTCGAAGAGCAGATCCAGCGGATTCCATGCGGATCCCAGATGCAAAGCTCCCGCAAAGGCCGCCACGCCCATGGTCGCAAAGCTGATGCCCAAGATGGCCTCAAGGCGCGCCATGGCCATGGCCAAAATTCATGGGAGAAATCATGGGACATCACCGATTTTTCGGACCAAACGAAGGTTTCTAGATGGGAGAATCAATGATAATCAATGAACGGTGGATGAATTTTCCCGCCAGGGTTGATTGTCAGAGGGTATAGTCCTTGCGAAGCTGAAATAAGTCTGCGATTCTGTGAAACTTGTGAAACTATATACGATTTAACCATAGGTTTGATTCAACATGTTGATGAACTGTAAAGTGTGACAAGTACCACATTGTTACCACTCTGTTGTTCGGGTCATGTCTAATTATTCTCCGAATGTAAGAACATCTCGCACCCTAGATGCAGTCAGAAAGGTACACAAAAGCCCTTCAACTCATGTTTTTCAACAACCCGTACAGTTTACCTTCATCAAATGCCTGAAACATGTGGTAAAGCCAAGAATCACCATCCCCATTCCAGCCATTTTAGTGGTAAACCATCCCTGGCTCCAGGCCGAAGAGCATGCAGCAAATGGCGACACCAGGAGGCCCTGCGGTCGCTGGGGATAGCCCTAATCATTCATGGTCTTGGTTGAACCATCGAACATGCGCGGCTTACCCAGATGCAAAGTGAAATGGACAACATGGGGATTGAAGTCGCAGAAATGGAGGGTGAGACAACACCGGATTTTCACCATCTAAAATCAACGCGCGGCTTTGGATCAATGCTTGTTAGAGGCATTTCTAATTTGGTGGTTCCCCAAGAAATCCCCCATTATTCCCACCAAGACCCCATAGTTTGACCATAAATGAGTGAAATTTCCCAATAAATACCTGGACGATCCTTGAAAATAAGATTTCCCTATTATATAAATCTTGAGATTTCCACAGCAAGTCGCAAACTCAACAGCTGCTGGCGTTGTCAACAACACATTACCGACACACCTAAGTAGTCCTAAAGGCAACCAATCCATCAAAACTACAAAATGACAGCAAAGTCCATTTGAATAACCATCTATCAGAATGAATCAAAACATATCAAAACACTATAAAAATCACGCAAAAGCCCACAAACAACTCCTATAAACATCCTACTTTTGGGCGAACCAGGAACTAGTCCCTTAAAAACCACATGAAGCACCAACAACATCACAAAACAAACCCAGACAATTCCTGCAAAAATCCTGTAAACAATTTGTAAAAACACGTAAATGGGAAAGGCTGCCAGAGCACAAATTTACAGTGTCCATTGAACAATGGCCACATAAACAGAACTACGCCCATTTTTTCCAGCATTACTTAAAAAACAAATTGACAATCAAAAACATAAATTGCCTATTGAATCGAAGGCCACATATTCCTACACATCATCAGTACAGTGCAAACCACATCAAACCACCATTTTGTCCAAACACACCATGAGCAGCAACATTTTTTTTGTAGCTACACCCTCAAACTGATGGTTTGGATTCACAATTGGTGGTCCAGCCCCATTGGTAAGGCTATGAGCGCCTGGATTACCCAATGATTTCTGATGATTTCTCAATGTTTCCTAGAAGGCCCCTAGGAAGCATCCCCCCGAAAGCCACTGTTAGATGGGGATACAGGAAATTAACCATAATTCACCATTCATTCACCATTCATGAAAACCCAACATTCAACAAAAGAACCCTTAAAACAAAAACATTATTCACCATTTTGATTCAACATTCATCATTCAATTCACCCTAGTTAGATCATTCACCCAACAAAAACATGTTTTTTTTCACAACGACGCTGAATCCTTGGGCGGAGCGGAGCCACCATTGAGGCCACATGAAGTAACAAACTCATCATCAAGCAACCATCATTTGAATCAATTAAAAATCATTTCAGTGATAAGTGATATATCCCCAGAATTTTTGATGATCTATATTACTGGTTGGTGGTGCAATAACCATCTTGAAAATATGAACGTCAATGGTAAGGATGACATCCCATAAATGAAATGGAAAATAAAAAATGTTTGAAACCACCAACCATATATATATATATCATACTATATATATGTATCATATCAATAAATCCCTACTAAATTTTGATGATCCATATTACATTATCACAACTTATATCCCGAGAAATTTTGATGTCTCGCCCTATCTTTATGATGTTTAAATCCCCATATGAAATCCGGGGCATCCATCGCGATGTCAGATGATGTCAGCCTGGCGCCATATTCGCTGCGTTCCCATAGCAGGAATGGGAGAACGAAGGTCATCGGCCTTCGGACGACTGGGGATGACTGGTGATCATAAAAAAATAGCTAGTTATGATTCAATAGATTGATCCAAATATATCTATATAGTCATGTATATATAATTATATAATTATATATATATATGTATATATTAATCATATATATATATATAATGATGGAATTATTATATCTATTGATTTCTTAAATGGTTGTTTCTGAAGTCATGGTGGATCCACAAGTCACCATGCTTGTTTACCTCCAAAGTCATGGTTATCCATGACTGGGATGATGCAAGGGCTACCCCCACGACTTAGGTTTCACCTCCATGTTCTTTTCTGAAGAGCCGCCCCGTTGTGATGTTTTGTTTGTTTATAAACCCATTACCATCTGGTTATTTAACATAGCCATGGAAAATCACCATTTTAATAGGTAAACCATCTATAAATGGGCCATTTTCCATGGCTATGTTAAATAACCAGAGGATAACTATAGAAATATTTACCATAAATCATGGTTATTGTCACTTATTGTAGTTATACACCCACTCATCTATCCAGAGGGCCTCACCGTGTATGAAGAAACATCCATTTGAATTTAAAAAAATGTGGGAATATGTTCTAAAACGGGGATTGGTAAATGTCCCAATAGAAAAAAAACAAATATTGGGTATATAATCTTCAACAGATATTTGAAGGTGATGTTCAAAATCCCCAAAATGGGACATTTACCAAGCCCTGTAAAAATCGTTGATTTTCCGTTCAACCATGCTTGTCTATTCAGCCCTTTTGGGAGAGGGTCGCTGAAATACCTTTGGCCCATGTGGATCCATACATACGGTATGGCTTCATAAGTGGCTATGTAATAGCAAGTGCATTTGGGCGATCAATCATTTCAGAGAGAGGCTCATTGAACATTCATTTCATGACAAACTGATATCCCCACAGCATCCCGAAACTATGCACGTCACAGGCATGATATCAATATAATATACATCCGAAACAAACAGAAACTACTGCCGCATATGATATCATGGAACCTCCGAAATACGGCTGGTTTGGAAAATACATGTCAATATCATGTTGGTGATTGCATGATCTCGCGGACGGAAAGTAATGAAGAATTGAAACCACCAGTCACCAAACAGCTCTGATCTATATAAGTCTAAGGGATGCCAATTGATTGTTGGATAGAATGAGACAGAATGATCTGGGTCTGAAAATGGGGAGCCAGACAGTAATGTTTTTTTTCAGGAACATGATGATAAACCATCAAATTCGGGGATACACATGTTCCTGAAAAAGGCAATTATGTATCCCCTTTTATTTGATGATTTATCCCTGGATGTTGTATTCGGGGATACACCAGGGATTCAGCAACTATCATTAAACCTTTCAAACGAATCCAGGGATTTTGTATACCCAGGCAGAAACAACTCACGGGGGTCAATGTTCATTGGATTGGCTGTGCTCCCATGATATCCCCATGCTGACCCCCAGCTTATCCCATAATCTTTCAGTGCAAATATGGATAATCCCATTTTTTTTATGGGATCCCCATGGTATACCACTAATATCCCATGACATCACCATTCAAAATCCATCATCCCATTAAATCACCATTAAAATCCACTCAAGTCCCATTCAATTCCACTAAAATCCCATGAAATCACCATGGTTGTTGATTGAATCCCCCATTTTCCGACACAACGACTCGACGTCTTGGCCAAGGCCGCGTAAAGCCAATGGCCCCGCTGAGCCCTGCCAGATCCCCGAAGAAAGGCAACGCGACCTGTCCCGTGGAGAAGGTGTCCGTCCTGGAGTCCTCAAAACCTATCTGGTTGTTGGTTTTAACATGTTTTAACCATCTTGAAAAACATGAGTTCGTCAATGGGAAGGATGACATCCCATATATGAAATGGAAAATAAAAACCATGTTCCAAACCACCAACCAGCCTATGATATGTTAATCCAGTATCGTGTATATATATAATTATCTAATCATATCTAATGTCCAACACATTTGGTGTGAACAAAACCAACCAGTTTGATGGTTAAGTGTACGCACTTTGATGGGTATGCAACCTTTCTAGAGATGGATCAACATATATTTCCATATTTCGAGGTTTTCCTAAAGCATGGCTACCCCAAACCATTGCTTTTACCATTGATCAGCAATAACTTGGATGATTTTGGGCTACCCCCATTTAGGAAACATCCCAGATTCCCATCATGGGCGAGCCGGTCACCAAGGTACGGCAATAAAGGTGGCGCTCGCCACCCAAGGTATGCGCAAAGATAAGAATCCTGGGGAAGGCCGGGAAGACGACGCGCCAGGGACGCGCCGTGAAAAAACATGGGAATCGAAATGGGCTTCGTAAAATGGGGAATTCCCAGAACCAATGAGATTGAATATTGCAATCTAATGACTTGGATCTTTTGAAGATACCTCCAAGTTTAGGACAGCTCCATATAGGGAATATTCGGGATAAAAACAACCATCTTTGAAGTGGGCATCTGATGGAATGTGCAACACATGGGGATACACGGGTTCTGGTCATCCATTTCATGGGAATCCTACACATCATGGCAACGTCAAACGGCTGAGAGAGCAGAGAAAACCCAGGTGTTCAGCTGGTGGATCTTTCGGAAAACCATCCGTGGAGTATGGAGAAGTATGACATAGTACAAGTCACCAATTGTCACCATCTGCCAACTGGTATCTGGTTGGTGGTGCAATAACCATCTTGAAAAATATGAAAGTCAATGGGAAGGATTATCCCATATATTATGGAAAATAAAAAATGTTTGAAACCACCAACCAGGGTATGATAACTCCAGAGAATCAAAGCTGAAGTTAAGAACCCTGCAGTAAGGTCATGCTCGGATTAAGGAACCCTGATCAGGGTAACGGGTAGAAAACCCTCGATGCAGAAAGTGATAAATTGCCCTGCTGCTCATTCACGCGGAAGTGAGAATCACCAAATCAAAATAGTGCCTGCCAATGGCTGGCTTTGCTGGGGAGTTCACCATGCCAGCTCCGATTTGAAATAGCGATGACAATTGGAAACACGGAGCAAACGTATCAGACGCATCATAGGAAAATCATCAGAAACTTTTCCACATTCTCCACACCTTTTGGAAATCTCCCAGTTTGGTCAGTATAATGAAATAAATCATATATTCTGATACCATTTTTTAATCGTTCCAAAGCTGCTGATCCCTCGTTGCGACCCCCGTTTTTGTCATCAACTCGCTGAGACTCGGAAGAGGAAGGACCGAGAAGTGAGGCCCTCGATGATGTCCTGAGCCGCTAAGGCTGGGAGCTGGATATAGCTGGATCCGGAATGCACCTGTGGATGGTTGCGAAATCCGAAATCCGCTTGGGGTTTTGCAGGTGAAAAAAGAATCCAAGGTGCAGGATTGCTTCCAACCACAGTAGCTATGGCATTTTTCCATTCAGTATGGAAGACTAGTGCAAGTTACATGTTTCCTTGCGTTCATTTCTGGCAATTTCTGATTCGAACGAAGTAGATCACCACTCATTTTGGATATAGCGGTTGGAATTCCTCCAAGTTCACTGAACCCCCAATGTGTTTTCTTGATAGACATGAGGCAAGATCCACCGTGCAAGTTGATGATCTCCTGCTCAAATTTTATATCTGAAATGGCAATTCACCCAAACATATTTGCATATGCTTCTGAAAGTTTCTTGTCCGCTCTAGTCTCACCATCATCATCATCATCATCATCGTCATCATCATCATCATCATCAGCAGCAGCAGCATCGTCATCGTCATCGTCATCGTCATCGTCCTCCTCCTCCTCCCCATCATCATCATCATCATCATCATCATCATCAACAGCATTGGGGTTAACAGATGAATGCCGATCCCTGGTTTGTTGAATTGGGAAATGTACCGCTTTTATAACTCGTCATGATGTGCGACACTCCTCCACCATGTTGAAGCCCGCTTGTATGTAGATGGCGCCCAAAGCAATGGTATTCACGATGAGCAGGACATTCCTGGGCAGTAGATGTGATGTTTGGATCGGTGCTTGGTGTTTTTTTGGGGCCCATGGCATCAAATGCTTTTCAGTGAAAATGCATAAACATGCTAACAAGTCCATGAATATCATATCGAACATGCTGTGGCAGGTTCCTGGTTCTTGAAACGACGGAAATGTCTGCACCGCAATCCGCCCGGAAAAAAAACTCCATGGAAGGACACCTGCACAACGACCCGCAGGATTCCACTGATTCCTGGCCGAGCGTCAAGGACAGGATGAAGCCATCCTGACGGCTGGGAGGAAGCCGGGGCAACTTCGAAACACGCGTCACGTGTCACATCTGTCAACCTCGCAACTTTGAAACTGGTGGTATACCTACCCCTCTGAAAAATATGAGTTCCTCAGTTGGGGTTATGAAATTCCCAATTTATGGAAAGTCATACAATTCATGTTCCAAACCACCAACCAGTGCTCTTTGTGTAGTTCAAGACGTTCCTTCGAAAGCCTGCAGTTGACCACTTGATAGACCATCCAACCATCCCAGCTGCTGGGGCCCACGTGGGCATAGCCCATTTTCATCCCATTTTCAAACACGACTTGTCAGCTTCAGCCAGAGCACCCCAGTGTGCACGTCTTGCAGGTTTGTGGGTAGGAAGCCGGTGAGAGTGGGACCGAAGGCCAAATACGCCAGCACTGCCGTGGATAAGTAGCCTGGCAACGGGCGAATCCAAGGGCAGATTAAAGAATTGAATCTTTATCTATCCATTTTAGTAATTTCTTGAAGTTTTGAGATGTTCCAAACAAAGGAGCTAAGCTAAGTGAAAATCTTGAAGTTAGTAAAGGGATATCATCATACTGCGGTTAGATAATGGATTCTCTGTCTCTATCTATCTCTCTCCATATTAAAAAAAATAACCCACAGCCACATATCAACATGGATGGGTGTGGCTAAAATGATCTATGTAACGCATGACCGGATGGGGGGACAGCAATAAATAACCCATTCAACCACCATTTCCGGTAAGTTTCTGATTATTTTTCATGATTATCCCGATTTTTGCGCGTTGGATCGAGAGATCTCTTTGTGTCGAAGCCGACACCTAGGTCCGCTTGATGGTTGAACCTCAATTTTGAGAATGTGAGTCACCTGGACTTGTCATTCCAAATAGATCCCCATTAGCATGGACAATACGACATTTTCTCCTGAACACAAATATGGAACCCATCATTTCAAGTGTCAAAATCTTCTTTCCGAAAGCATTTTATGATCTTTGTTTATATGGAGGTTTCTTAAAATAGAGGGAGCCCCAGATCATCCATTTTAATGGGAATTTTCCTTATAAGTCATCCATTTTGGGATATCTGATATCCCCATTTCAGGAAACCCCCCATATCTTTCACCCTCCATGATCATCTTTTCAAACCACCCGTGATCTGCCGAGCTACAAGGCACAATCAATGCCTTGGCGGCCGGGAAGGTGGAAGTATATTTTGTCGCCTTTTGGGTATGGGCAACCATGCTTTGACATTGTTTTATGACCGAAAGTCATACAACTTGCACCCAAGGAATTCAAGAGTTGTAACCGCAAACTTGGCAAACCATATACAATGCACATCCAATAGGGAAAAAAAACACATTCCAACCCTTTTTTCCAATATTAAGTTGACGTCCGCTTCCCGATTTTTTAGCAAGTTCGATATCCCCCTCGATTCTTGAATATGTGTTCCTGGCTATAAATTGACCATCAAATCATTCAGATGTATGGTTTTGTCTGAAAATAGGCTACGGTCAAATTGTTCATACCCTAAGGGTCCCGATGAACACCCGGGACGTCCCTAGGTTCGACCCCTCGCACCAACATCCATGGAAGACCATGAGGGGTCACGATTCTCGACCTGTTCTGGGGACATACCCTTAGGATCATAGATAGAGAACATCAATGATTGGGTAATGTTTAGTCATGTTTTGTCCCTTTTTGTCCCTATTCATCTTTACGATATCAAAGGGGAAAGTGTTCCAGCCCTGACTGCTCCCAGCATTTTTGCTCTTGCCCGGCCCAACGTCACGGCCAAAACGTTCAACCTGCGAATCTCTGCTGCAGCTTCAGTGTTTTCAGGGGGCAAGGTTGGACAATTGTTATAGTTCCACTTTAGCAAAATGCAATGCCAATAAAAGTTTGTACCTTTGAAGGCTTCTGAGGTGTAGGGATGCCCGGTGGCAGGTCCGAGCCAACCTACCCATCTGCCCAATGTAGGACTCGGCACAAAGAAGGGTATACCAAGATGGATTGATTTTCGATGTTCGGGCATCCTCCAGCATATGCATAAAATGGTGATGCTTCGGGAGCAATAGCCACAATGCCCTGTTGAGCACCCCATGTCCACGGACCCCGGCTTGAGCTGCACTCAAGGAATTCAAATACCCGTAAATTTCCAAGTGTTGCATCCCTTTCTTGTAGAGCTCATTCGCTTGATCATCGGACAAGAGAACTGGTAGCTCCTAGTGATGGCAGGGTAGACCCCGGAAAGCAAAAAAAAATGGAGATCCAACCTTTTTTAACATATGCATATAAAACCGCTGGGCATCAGAATAAGGCTAGTAGAATGCCGCCTAGGTTCATCTAGGAGTCTCAAGACTTCCGCGTAGCTCCAAATGCAATTGGCAACATGCTTGTCTAGTTCAGTGGCACCATCCCTTGTCCCATTTTCAATCGCACACTTGGAAAGCCAGAATGTCAGAGCCTTTGACGCAGCTGCTTTTGAACTTAAGCAAGGGTAGGAAGTTCGTTGAACCCGAGACAGACGCGATGGTGTAAAACGCGGCTGCGTAACACCAAGTTTCATAGATGATTTCCATTCATTGAACTGGCGGTATGCAATCTTGAGACACTGCGCCATACAAACTGGGTATTGGCCAAAATGCCACCCACCAAAAAAGCCAACTTCGCAGAGGTAGGTCAAAACGCTGCCGTTGCAAACTTTTCCAGTGCCTAACAATTGACTATGGCAAACGTCATGCATGAATCGCTCCAGGCGACAGCCAGGGATTTGAAACAACGGATGGTAATCTTCTGGGGATCGACCAAGCCGTGCAAAAAAATTGTCATGCGACACCCTGGTTTGTCTATGGGCCGCTTCTTCTCTGAAATCCCCCAAAGTCATGGAAAGATCATCGTGCGTTTTGTGGCACAAACACCATGAACAAAATAGGTTTTTGTGGTAGTTGTGCAGCCCAAACTTCTCAAGCAACCATTTGAGGTCCCCTTGTGTGGAGGAATATACGAATTGATAACCAGAGCCAGTCCAGGGATGAGAAATGCACGGATCACACATGGCGGTGATTCTAGGGACAAGCGCAGTCCAAAGATCCAGAAAGGTTTGAGGCGTAGTGTAGTGGTCCGGCAGCACACAGATTGTAAAGTATCTGGACAATGATGGCAATCCAGCACTAAAATCACTGCACCAAGCTACTACTGAAACCACCCCACCCTCTGTGTTCCGAAAACTTTGAACTTCATCTCCGTACAGCGACAGCGGGATAAGTTTGTCAGGATGGTTGGACGCCAAGGCAGGGTGTTCCTTCATCCAAGTTGAATTCTGTTTGGTATGTGCCCAAAACGAAGCCGGGTCCACCTTATCACCAAACATTACCTTTTTGAACAGCTGCTCACTTTGCTGAAACAATGCGCTGGCCATTTTGTCAGGGAATATCACTGACAAGTTTTGTAGGGACTCTTCCTCGGTCTTCGGATTGTAGAGATGGACTTGGACCTGTTCTATTTCAACATCCAGGGCGCTCTCAGTTCTCAAAATTAATCTTTGTAGATCACGTTCGCAATTGCTGGTAAATTTTCCACGACTACCAATGGAAGCAACCTTCCGCAAAGTGCTATTTGCTGGTAGAACTCCCCCACAGCGGTCAGCTAGTTGCACAGCTGCTGCTGACAGCTGTTGTACCTTACTCATTCGCGAGATTAGGCCCCATCCCAAAAAGATGACAAAAGATTGGTACGTAACTTCTTTACAATTCCCCAACATCGGCTATCAAATCAATTCATGAAAATAGAACTGGCGTCTTTCACAGCGCTCATTCTCCCACAGGAAAAATCATATAGAAGGATGTCACTCAAGACGTTCCCAACATCTTGGTAGGAAGATGAAGATGAAGTTGCATTTGCCATTTCCTGGGGGAACAGAACAGAAAGGATAAAAAAATTGCACTGTTTTCATGGTAAAGGTAGGGAGTTGGTGGTTTAGATGACCCTAACCCCTTTTAGTTTGCTAAATACGCACTTTCCAATTTAAACTGCCCCGTCAAATTTTAGTATAGGTCAAATTTTATAGGTGATAAATATGGATCAGGTTTTTTTGGTGAGAGGCGATATACCGTGTATATTAAATGTACATATATATATATATATATATCTACATCTATATGCATACCATATGTATGTACACGTGCGTCAGGTGCTGTATATATGACATTAACACATGTATCATGAATATTATATACCTATGCATATGTACAGGCCTGGCAAAGAGGTAAAAATAAACCTATTTTCAGACATGGTGATGTCAGAGAGACCTATGCCTTTTTTTATGGATATCCTAGATGGGTTGTACCCAGTGACCGACGGCTGTCCTTGGCCAACCGAGGATTCTGCGATGGCTTGACCTGTGGCCGCGCGTAAGGACAGGGATTTTGGGCAGAGATGGGGAAATAGTGGTGGTTCCTAAAGTTATGGTAGCGAATCAGACTGGTTTGGAAGGTATAGAGTAGCTCCAAGAAATGGCCCCCCAACACAGCCCATAATCCAGTGAAGTGGCCTTTCCAATAGCATTGGCCCTCTTTTGGTGCAAGCCTCCATAGGCGATCGAACCCAGTGGTTAATATTGGATGTATACACCCCTTATTTTACATTGCCGTTATATCATGTTATGCCACATGAATATTTCTTTGTGATGCTTCCCGAGCAATGCAAAAAAGGCAAGCCTTATCAAATAAAGCCACCTATAGGATATGTATATGCACACAAACCGGTGCAAAGCTAGAGGCCATCTTTCCCCAAGCGTTTGACTCCGTTTGGCGATGAACTGATTTTGGCGTGTGCAGTCACACGCGGCGCAACTGTGCCTAGCCAGCTGCACAGCCCTGTATCCACCATTTTTTGGTAAGCCCATGAGCATCTGTGGACCAGCTAGCATGTGTTTTCTGAAACATAGGCTGTGGTGACCCTATGGCACAAGCTTCGACCCATCCCCAAAGGATCATGGTTTCACGACCCTTTCAAAAGCATACGTATTTAAAGGTCATGCCGTGCCCGGCAGGATTTCACAGGTCATCGTCTTCACCAGCTTCCTCAGGCAAATGCCGGACAGGGCGGCGGAAAGAGTGATGGGATGACCTCATATAAGGGTCGCCATGAAAACATGCAATTTTCCGAAACAAGTGCATGAGTGCTTCCTCTTAGGAGAACCGTGTCTGATGTAACGCTTAGCATAGGTCAGGGTCCCATTCTTAGAATCTACTGAATCCATTTGCTGTCATGAATCTCTCTTAGATCTCTTCTCCTTCTTGGGTCTGCAAAGACCGTCAGCGGCTTCCTTATCCTCGTGGAACATGTACTGGCGATCCATGGCCAACTTCGTAGCAGCTTCAATCTGCCCAGGGATTGCGTTGTCTTTGCCCTGCCAGGCTGTTGTGGTGAGACGTACTATGGTTGAGGCCACTTGTCACTTGTGGTAAGTGGGGGCATGGTGATGCAAACACACCAATCATGGATTTCCCAAAGCCTGGCGAATCAAGCCCTTCAGCTGGTTGTAGCTGGTTTCAAGCTCTGTGGCATGGTTGGCCAAGCTGGTGCCTTGGGAAACCAAATGACTGGACTAGGGATTTACGTATGTGATCATGGCTTGCCTGGGCTTCAAATAATCTATTTTAAAATCTTGCAGGTTCTTGCAGGGTGGAGGACTAAATAGGACATCGAGCACATGAACGTATTTCACTGGTTTTTCGAAACTAGGCACACAATGCCTGTTGGTGCTGCATGTGGTTCAACTTCAAAGGGATAGTTCTGCACGTCGACAGATCGACCAAGAGCTTCGGCAAAAGCCATTCCGCAGCAGCGAAAGGCTCTTCTGGCATCTCCTTCTTCCTCAGATTTCAGATTATTATTTTTTAAATAACCATATGCCATATGTTGACTGATTAAATTTGCTTATAACACAATTCAGTACGAAGTGGTTACAGCCATTGAACCATCACATTGCTTCAGTAAGACATTCATCAATGTGTTTTTTGCAATTATAATTGAGTTGATTGTACTTCTCTACAGCCATGTTTCTTTCGACTTCCAGTCGGTTGGCCCTTTCCCCTGCCCTTGTTCTTGCCCTTGCCCAAGATGGTAGGGTTGCCATTCCCCTGATTCTCATCCGTATTTCCACTGGTGTCAACCTTGACATGGTTTCCCACCCGTGGCAGGTTCGAGACATCAGTGCCAAGTCCGCTCAAAACGTTGTCGGTCAGGAGCGCTCCCGAAGCCTCAGCAGGGCGGGCCATCAAGGAAAGAAGGTCCCAACCTGTAACCTTAGAAAACATGGTGACCATTGGCGACATATGTTCCAAAAAAAATGTGACATCATCTACATGAAATTTGCACTTGCCCCCATGGAATCCCTTAAAGAGATGGACGAGGCTGCTGGAAGCGGGCATTTGTTTTTGCATCATTGGTATATCAGTCCCATCTCACAGGAAGGGGCCCTATAGTTAGGCAACTTGGTTATAACTATGTGGGGTTCACATAGGGGGCACAACTATAGTCAAATTGTGTTTTAAACCAACTTATAACTAGGGGTCCCTTTCCTGCATAGGCCCGTTGATTTTATGTTGAACCCTGACTTTGATAGTTTTTCTTGTTCCAAAAACACCACACCGGTTTTCCCGAAAAGGCCACTACGTTCTTCCCTGCCTCCGAACCAGCATCCAGTGCCCCCTCAGCCCGGATCTCCGTCTTGTCTTCGTAGACATCTTCATGGGCGTGGCTCATTTCGACAAGCACCTAGGGCGTGATAAGGATATTTGATAGGACATAGATGGGAAAAAATGGGTACGTTTTGGAAACCAAAGGAAATATATAAGATATTTGATAGGACATAGATGGTGAAAAAATGGATACGTTTTGGAAACCAGACACGTTACAATTATTCTTATAGCATCTGGTTTGCATATGATAGAAAGATAACATATATAGGGTTTCATCGGACAGAATAACGATGTTTCAATTGCGATTCCTGAAATACATCTATATGATCGAACACAGGGATTTTGGTTGTCTTACAATCCCCAGGGGAAACCTTGGTAGTTGATTCAAGGAACATAGTACAGCATCATGCCCTGATCATCCGGCAAGTCCGGATGCTCCCGAAATTCGCCAGTGCTCCTCTTCCGAAGAATCAAGGAATCAGCCAACTGAACGTTCCCGTTCAACATCATGATGATCTGGTCCCGGGTTCGCCAACCTTTGGCTTTGAAAAATGTTTAGAATATGGTTTGCTGTCATGTTTTACCATGCAACAAGAAATGGCATCCTGGTGAAACCCAGCCACCCATTTTCTTCTTCCCCTTCTCACGATCAATGCGAGCACGCGTTTGGCACACAGTGATCCTGAGGAGAGATCATGGGTCATTGACAACTTGAAGATAACACCAGTGCAAAATAAACTATCTTTTTGATTGTTTCATGTTATATTGGTCATTTTCAACTTTGTGACAACTAACTGAAGACAAAGCTCTTCGACCAAGACCCACCAGCTGCGCACCACAGCTGAAACAACTTGTTCTTAGCGCTTCTGCTGTTGCTGGCTACTGCCTGCTCCCAAGCCTCAACAAATTCTTGGGGCACTGTGATCGATGAAATCTCACCCGTCACCTGCCTTTTGAACGCAGCATAGTGTGACTGCCTTTCCTTTGTCGAGGCTGGCTGAAGGCTGTTGCTTGAATCTGCCACATGGAACTGCTGATCCAGCGGAGTGGGTGTTGCTGCTTTGGGCGCTGATGCTTGCGGTGCTACTGCTCGCTGCACTGATGCATTGGGCGCTGGCACTTGAGGTACTGGAGGTGTCCAGGCTGGGCGGCAACTTGCTTTTGCTGGAGCTACGGCAGCGTCTGGTGCTGTGGATGCTTGCGTTGATGGGGGAGGTGCTGCTGCTGCCAACGGTGGAGGATGGGTTGGCGTTGCTGATTGGGATGGGGCAGGTGCTGCTGCTGCCAACGGTGGAGGATGGGTTGGCGTTGCTGATTGGGCTGCCTTTGGTTCAGCTGCTTCCTGTGCGGGCTGCTCGATTTTTGCAACGTGCTGTTGGCTCTCTGCATCAAGCTGCGTGGCCGAAACTTCTGCACTTGGTGTCGCACTTGGTGCCGCACTTGGTGCCGCACTTGGTGCCGCACTTGGTGCTGCAGAAACAGTTGGTGCTTGGGAGCTTGTCTGCGTGGCCAGAACTTCTGCACTCGGTACCCCAGGGACAGTTGTTGCTTGGGAGCTTGCGTGTCCATCGTCCCAGCTGACAGCCCTGTTGACTCTGGTGGCTCTGGATGGGGTGGCGACAGGCTTCAAGATTGTTGGTTCAACGGGTTCCTTTTTGGTCACTTGGCTGGCCTCTGGCATGGTCACTTGGCTGGCCTCTGGCATGGTCACTTGGCTGGCGTCTGGCATGGTCACTTGGCTGGCCTTTGGCATGGTCACTTGGTTGGCCTCTGGCATGGTCACTTGGCTGGCCTTTGGCATGGTCACTTGGCTGGCGTCTCGCATGGTCACTTGGCTGGCGTCTCGCATGGTCACTTGGCTGGCGTCTCGCATGGTCACTTGGCTGGCCTTTGGCATGGTCACTTGGCTGGCCTCTGGCATGGTCACTTGGCTGGCCTCTGGCATGGTCACTTGGCTGGCCTTTGGCATGGGCACTTGGTTGGC